AGGCCTATTACATGCTGTCCGAGGCTTTATATAATACATATGTGCTATACTAGGCCTAGCAATATTTGTTACTTTTTTTTGCTTTATTATTTCTGACTATAAAGTGAATAGTGCCAAATTCTACTATCTAATTGCATTTTACGTCAATATATGTACGATGGTCCATAGCTACAACTACTATCTAAACGGGAATGGTTTGGATTTGGAATTTTTAGGGGCTCTGATAAAGAAGTTAGTTTGCTCTCTTCAGCACTGGCACTCAAGCTGTATTCAAACACTTCTGTTTAGTACTGGATCTTGATCTTCATTTGTCACGTAGTTAGGGGTAGGTGCGTAGCTCGGTGCAGGGTTGAGGCAACTTGGTACACACTTCTGTGAACTTACATCTGTCACGATCCTGTCTACTGTCTCCTTTTGGTCTGGCTTTCTGCGTTTGGTTGTGTAAGAGGGAGTCCGTTGGTTCCTTGTCCCTTACTAAGAGACTTTTCTTAGTTATGCTCTTGCACTTCCTTCTGTTTACAGTGGAAGGTGCAGTGACGGGTTTTCTTTCTAGTAAAACAGTTTGTTATATCAACTCACAGACCCTTTTAATTCTTGAAGGATCTCGTTTCCCATTTGATATCTTGTCTGGCATCCTGTTCCTAGCACCCAGTTCCCTTACTTTAGATCTGCTCAAGTTAAACTGCTAACTTGGCCAGTTGGGCCATTCTTTCAGTTTATGTAGATCATATTTTCCCTCTATCTCCCTCTGAATTAATCTGATTTGTGCATTATCAGCAAATATTGAGAGGAAAGAGTGTGTTTCCTGTAGATCATTTACTGTATATACAGTATACTGTATAAGGAACAGGAAAAGCCCGAATACTGACCCCTATGAGACTGCCAGTTACATATTTCATCTCTTTCTCCTCTCACTGACTTGCCATTATCTAATGCATAGATATTTCCTTATCCAGTGGAGCACATTCCCTGTCCCTCCTACCTGCTTCCCCAACTTGTTTACTTGTGTCTGGTGCTGCCACAGTGCTCTGTTATTTGATTCAAATTATATCAGAACGTTTGCTGCTGATGACTTTCTTTAGAAATGGGCTTTATGCTTTTGGGGATTTGACGGGGAGTTGGCCTCGCATTATTTATTAGATGTTCATCGGCCTCACTATGCTTGTGTTACTTTTGTGAATTTGGTGTGCAACTCTTGTTCTGCCCCGATCCCTCTTCTCCCACAGGTAAGCCCTTGCCGCATTTTTCTGTTTACTAATTTGTTCTTTTTCAGAAATGCCAGAATCCTCTGCCGAGGTGCCACTGTAAGGTTGCTCTGGGAACTATTGAGTGAGCCCTCCCAGAAATCAAGCTTTGAATGTTATGAAACATCCTTCTCTGGTAGGCCCTCAGTAGTTTCTCGATTGGGTGGATGACTTTGGTTTGGTTGACTTGAATCCTGAGGATGTGGGTTGTCACCTGGTGACAACCCACGTCATGGACAGGGAGTTTAAATGGTGGAAGTGATTGTTTGCCTCGTTGCCTTCGGCTACTTCATTTTCTTCAAGCATATGCTTTTTTTTTCCTCCAATGTTTTTTGGTGGTTTGTTCTCGGTTTTGGATTGATCTCTGATCCTCAAACTTTTCTCGCCTCAGAGAGAGAGCCAGATGCTAGTCCTGACTGCTAGTTGGCAATGAGTTAGGTTCTAGCAAAGGTTATGTTGCATTCAAACAAAGTGAAGTGGATTTATGATGAACGGGATATATTCATGGCGAGCATTATTTATTGTTAATTATTTTTACAATTCAAATAATGCTTAATAAATTTTAAATGTTTGATGAAGCATTTGGCATATTATTACCTGGGAGCCTTTGATAGCTCTATAAATTTAATAAAATTCAAAGAGATCTATCTGAGACCTTTTTTCCTTCAGAGAACTTTCTTTACCCTGTAGATGACTATGCTGAACATTTCTTAAACATTTCATCTGCCTTTATTTAATAAAAATTTCTACCTTTTGGTTTTCATATCCCATATGTGAAGCAGTTGTCACTAGTTTCACTTTAAAACCCAGAGAGAGAGAGAGAGAATACGTGGTATTACTCTTGTGAGTGACCCATCCAATTGGTGTACCAATCTTCTGTGAAATATGCTTCATGTAAGAGCAAATTTTGTGTTTTCAACTAACAGTGATATGTGAATGGGTTAGGGTTATAACTATATAGAAAAAGGTAGAAGGTATGTTTACCTTTTCATTGTATTCGTTGATAGAGTATAGAAGAGAGGTTATGCCTTTAACTTTAACTGATTAAGTTTGATAGAACAAGAGAGTACTGTAGTACTGATATAAAATGGGGGAAGGTGTACACTTGATGTCTTAGAAGGTGTTTTGGAATAAAACATCTTGCTTTTAAATTTGTATATTACTGTAGTAAAATATTGCAAAGGCAAGTTTCAAGACTGATTAAAGATTTAGGTAATGTGCATTAACTTAAATATTTTGTGTTCATATCCCAATAGGTTTTACATTTTCACAAAACCTGTGGATGAAGAAGAAGTGCCTGATTATCGTGATATTATAAAGGAGCCAATGGACTTGGAGACAATGATGACAAAGATTGACCAACACGAGTATGATTGTGCTCAGGAGTTTCTTCGGGATATTGACTTAATCTGCACTAATGCTCTTGAGTACAACCCAGACCGTAACCCTGAGGGTAAGTATTATAGTTTTGTGTAGCTTTCTTGGAAAACTTTTAAAACAAAAATGTTATTTCTGGGAGAGAGCCCACAGTACCTCCTGAAGCTTAGTATTGGTACCACCAAGCCTTAGAGCAACACACCAAGCCTCTTGACTCATTCATTCCCTACCAGAAGCCAGGAACAAAACTGAGTTTACTCAACCAGGCAAAGGGAAGCTTGGAGATCAGAGATAGACCCAATTAAAAAAAAAGTATACGCACACCAAAATAGGCCTTTAAACAAAAACCTAAAGAAAATTAGGCTCCTTATAAAAACAAAGTAAATAATAGTGGCAGGTGAATAAAATCTCCAATTGTGGTGTGACTTAACTCCTACCACATGACAACCCCTCCTACTCATTTGGTTTCTCGGCTATCCTGCCCTTCACGCTTCAACTTAATACCAACAGCTCATACACCTGTGTGCCTCTGCTGGGCCTGTCATCATTTGTGTTCTATACTACTAACATTGAGTGTGCCCTATCTTTCTCTCTGGTGTGGACCAAAGATCACACTTTGCCATACTCGCTTTGTTTCCAAAGAACTTTCTAATATTTTTTTGGCACCGTTGTTTCTGTAGCTTGAATCTATGGCCTTTTGTTCTTGAAGTGGCAGGTTTCAAGAATTCCTTTTTGAGAACTTTGTGGATTCTTATTGCTATCTTGTATGTAGTGATCCAACCCATCCTCCGAATTGACAGTACGTTTTAATACTAAATGTAATAAGTGCATTTTCTGACTGTTATACATAGTACATAATTGCACTTACGGGGCTGTTACATTTGCCCATCCCCCTCCCCCGATTTAAATCTCCTCGTTTTCTGTTTGGACACTTAAACTTTTAAGATGAAATTTTAAAGCTCAGTTGCTATAAACAAGTTTTAAATATTAGGATTTTCTTTTTCACTTTTATTAAACAATAGAGATTTTATACAAAATTTGAAGATATCCTGAGTTTACAATTTATTGAAATATTTTAGTTTTGTTTTATTTGTTGTATAAAACTGTAATATCAATATAGCTATAGGTTAAGTAGTAGTTATAATTAAGATGCAATAAAATTCTCATCTTCACAAACTAAGACGGTTAGGTGACGTTGTGGTTTTCTATTCAGCTTTTGAGGTAAACTCAAATATTCACAATATATTTGACAGTACGATTTAATACTTAGTGTAAATAAGTACAATTCTTAACTGTTATACATAGTACATAATTGCACTCATGGGGCTCTGTACATTTACCTCCACATATTTGGAGGACGGGCCAAGGGATCATATCGGCATTTGTTCTTTTATTTTCTAGTTTTGGCATATTTGACAGCTGTAGCTTATTGTTGTAGCTCTTGTTTTTCAGTTCTGGAAGGCATGAGTTCTTTAATTTCTTCCACATAATTTGTAAGTTGTGTGGTGCCTACTTTCTCCTATTCCACATTCCATAACATGGCATTTATTCACATTGAACTCCATTTGTCACATTGTGGTCCAAACACTTATTTGATCTAGGTCAATTTGAAGGGCATGACAATCATCTAGGTTTCCTATCTTCCCTAGTAGCTTAGCATCATCAGCAAACATGTTCATATAATTCTGTATTTCTTTTGGTAAATAATTTATGTAAACTATGAACATTACTGGTGCAAGAACTGAACCCTGTAGTACTCTGCTAGTAACACTCCTCCAGTCAGATACATGGCCTTGGATTACCGTCCTCTTCTTTCTATTAGTTAGAAAATTTTTCATCCATGTCAGAAGTCTGCCTGTCACCTCCTCCAGCATGTTCCAGTTTCAAGGAACAGCCTCTTGTGTGGGACTCTGCCAAAAGCCTTTTTTTAGGTCCAGATACACAGTCAACCCAACCACCTCTTGTCATGTATTATATCTTTGGCTCTATCATGAAAATTAAGTAGGTTTGTTACACAGGATCGTCTGTTTGAAAACCATACTGTCTGCCTGTTATAATGTCATTACACTCTAGGTGTTCAACCCATTTGGCTTTAACTATTTTCTCTAGTGTTTTGATTATCACGCTTGTTAATGATACGTGTCTTAAAATTTAGAGGGTCTTCTTTGCTACTATTTTTAAAGATTAGAACTATGTTTGCCTTTATCCATATAGCTGTTAAGATTCCTGTGTCCAAGGATGTCTGATATATTAATTGAAGGAATGCTCAGCTCGGTTGCACATTCTCGCAGCACCAAAGGCGAAACTCAATCTGGTTCAACTGCTTTATTTCCTTCTAGCCCCTTGATTAATTTTTCCCCTTCATCTTGAGATACCTCTATGTATTTTATGGTGTGCTCTGGAATTGGCACTAGGTTTGGCTCTCTGAAATCCTCATTTTGTACAAACACATTTTTTAATTGTTCATTTATTGTTTCACACATTTCTTGTTCATTCTCAGTAAACTTGTTTCCCATTCTCAATCTCTGGATTTTATCCTTTACATACAGCTTGCTTTTAATGAATTTATAGAAAAGACCTGGATCTGTTTTATATTTGTCTGCTACAGCTTTCTCTGTGTAATTACCCAAGTGTAGTTACAGGATGAGAGCTACGCTCGGGGTGTCCCATCTTCCCAGTACTCTTTGTTATATAACGCTTTGAAGCTACATACAGTTTAGGCTTCCACGTCTATCTCACTTAACTTGTTCCAACCGTCTGCCACTCTGTTTGCAAAAGAAAACTATCTAATATTTTTTCGGTGCTTTTGTTTCCTAAACTTTAATCTGGGTCCTCTTGTTTGTGATGTTGTTGATTTCAGGAATTCCTTTTTTGTCAGTTTCGTCAAATGCTGTTAGTATTTTGCAAGTGGTGATCATATCACCTCTTTTTCTTTTATCTTCTAGTTTTGACAGGTTTAACGCCTCGTCTCTCCTCGTAACTCTTGTTTTTTAGTTACGGAAGCCATTTTGTAGCATGCCTTTGCACGTTTTTTAGTTTATTTATGTGCTTCATGAGAAATGAGCACCATTCAACTGCTGCATATTCCAATTTTGGTCTCAAAAAAGTCATGAACAGTTTCTTTAGTATTTCCCTTATCCATGTGAGTGTGTAAATATATAATGAAATGTAGTGTATGTGTTGACAAATTATACTTTTGTCCAATGCACACCACATATCTGGCAGCTTGAAGATTTTAAAAATAAGGTAAATAAATAATAATGTTTTCTACAGATAAAATCATCCGTCACCGTGCCTGTACGTTGCGGGATACAGCTTATGCTTATATTAAGGCTGAAATGGACACCGATTTTGAAGACAAGTGTCGTGAAATTAGAGATAGGCGCCAGGTGCGTTATAGTCCTTCGGGAAAACCTCTGGCCCCAGAATTCATCCATGTTGCTCGAAGCTCGGTAAGTGCTTCTCACATTCAAGTTTTGCATACTTAATTAGTGGTTTTATATCATCTATTTGTTTATTTTTTTATGTTATGCGCTTGAATACACTTGTATATGTAGGATGTCGTCTGGTTATTCTTACTTTCTAACCACTATAATTTGTTTACCAAATTTGTAATAATGGATAAAAGTGGCATCCTTCTATGCTGGCCTCATGTATCTGATATTGTTACTGTGTGAAATTACCCAAGTGTAATTACAGGGTTATGAAGTTATCTCATAAGGAAGTTTTGAAGCTAACAAAGGTGTTACCATATACTGTCCTCAAGTAATGTGTTTCACCCTTCTGACACTGTAAAACTACAGTTTTCCTACAGTTTTCTTCCTTTTGTTTTTGTACACAAATCAGAGTGTACACTAGGGACGCAAATTTCATTAACACTTGCAGCACTCTGTAATTATATTAGTGTAAATGAGAACAAGGCAGGTTAATGGGTGAAGCCTCCGGTAACCCCAAGATACTTTAACTCTCATCTCCAGAGACAATAACCTAAACAAATGCCTAATCAATTACAGTACACTAATTGATCTCGGTGATTAGTTAAGTTAATTAAACTGTCAACTGGACAGTCGGCAGCAAGTAATCTACGTTAATGACAACCGTGTCTTACACACTCAAGCAAGTGACAACCATAATTCGTAAACTATAATTACATGTAACTTGACCCATCAAGCATTCAGTGAGTAATTACCTGAATTAATGTTAAACGGACAGGTAATAAATCGAGAACGAATTACGTGAGGCAGTGCTGCTACCCTCTCGACAGCTTCCCAACAAGTCTGTCAAATTTATGTTGATGGTTAACCCTTAAATTGCGCATCGCATCATATGATCCTTTGACCGACTTGCAGTAAATTACGCATCGCATCATATGAGGCTTTGGAGTACTACGCAAGATTTAAACAGCCCGCGGATACACGGGGTTCACCACACCTTCATCAGGGCTCTTGTAAACAGACGCCATTTTTAAAAAAAATCGTGGGCCAAACTCCCGGGTGTTATTGGCCTCAGTATTGAGTGAGCAACCAAGCCTGACGCACGCAGCATGAGCTAACAGCACTGCTGTTCAGCTTGTGACCACAGCATCGCCTAAAAATGCCAAATTATACTTGTTCATGCTATTATGTAGCGATGATATTATTACAGAAGACCCCTGACTGTGATAAAACTGACCAGGGTTCTGATAATAGCAGGATTGTGGTGATATTTAGCGCTGTGCGCCATGGAGGGAGGAGTAATGCTGTGGGAGGGAGGGTGGTGGCGATGTCTTTTGACTGTGTGTGGCCACCTTTTATTGACTGCACTCAGCATACCAGCTTAGTGGTTCGCTATGGTGAACACAAATGTAGATACTTATATATAACGTGTGTATAGAGGGTATAAACAGCAAGAGAAGGTTTGGTGCCGCCATTTTGGTGAGGGCGGTGGCGTCGTGCAGACGACGGTGTTGTTTACTGGTTACCACGATGGTCTTTGGGCACATCTACCAGTTTATTTGTACAAGTATGGTGAATAAAACAGGTAGATATTTATATATAATGTGTGTATATAGCGTAATAACACCACACAGTATTGTTGGAGGAGAAATATTAGTGCGTCTGGCCTTGAGGGCAGCCGCCGATCAGCTGACTGTGTGAGTAGCCACATCTTTGTGCCTTTACTCACCATACAAGCTTAGATGTACAGTTATGGTGAACAAAACATGTAGATACTTATATATAACGTCTGTATATAGTGAATTATAGCAAATACATTATTGTGGGAGGAGAATGTGGGTGAGTCAGATGACTTGAGGGAGGGCGTGAGTGGCTGGCTGGTAAACGGCGGTCACTCCTCGTTACTTTTTGACTCATAATAGCTACTTAGTGGTTCGTTATAGTGAACAAAACATGCAGATACTTATATATAACCTGTGCTTATAATGTAATAACCGACAAAGTATTTGTTCACTGATTGATGAACATAATTGAATCAACAATATGCACACCATATTTTTGAGTACAGCAATGATTCACTCATTTTATTATATAAATATATCAAACTACACACTATTGAATAATATTACAGCAAAAAAAGTATGAAAAATCAATCGGAGACATTGAAATAATTAGGTAATTATCTCTTAGTGACAACTCCGGCCTGACAGCTGGCGAGCAACAGACCGCCTGGGACGCACGCTGAGTCAGCGCCTATAATTTGCCAGACTTCCCCGCTCTATAGCGGGCAATATATGCCACTTACGATTTTTTTATTATTTTTACCGTGATCAGTGAACACAAATTAACAGGTTAGGAAGAAAAAATAATTTTTTTTTTTTTTCAAAATGACATGCGCCTGTGGGGATGACAGGATATTAAACCCCGAGCATGTTAAGGGTTAATTAACTTGGGTGATCAATTAATTAATAAATAAATATATATCTTTCAGGGAATCGCAGAAAATTATTAAATACAGAGGTCTGGCACACTGTCCCACAACCAGGTAATAAATAAATAAATAAATAAATATATATATATATATATATATATATATATATATATATATATATATATATATATATATATATATATATATATATATATATATATATATATATATATATATATATATATATATATATATATATAAATATAAATATAAATAAAATATATATATATATATATATATATATATATATATATATATATATATATATATATATATATATATATATAATAAATAAAACTGAAAACTCCACACCCCAGAAGGATTTGCACTCAGACAACCAGGAGCACTGTGCACCTTGACGTACCTGGTGCCTTAACCACTAGACTACACGACTGTACAAAAATTTTGGTAGTCGTGAGACCTATTTATCCTAGATCTGACAGCGCTCGGTGGTCAACTTGGGCATAGATATTTTATCGAATCACCTCACTTGGTGGGTCCACGTGAACAACACAAATGTGTTGTTTTCCCGCAACCAGCTTGATAACCAGCTCAGTTGAGCTGGTTATTAACATTTGCCAATTCTTCTGTGTGTATTTTGTGTCTGCCATTTTTAGGGTCTGTACTCAGATATGTACCATTTGACCTTTGCTTTTTAAAACATTTACATAATTTTCAGGGAAGACCAGAAATAGCATTAAAGCCAGAGAGACTCTCCGAACCACTGACTCCTTGTTTCTCCACTACATCACCCAGAGGTTAGTTCAACAATATATCTGTATCATCATCTCTCATCTCTGGCTCTTCTACTAATAATAAATGTGCTGTTCTTCAGCATTTATCATGTCCTTGTTACGTCACATTTTCATTTGCAGTTTAGTTCTGGACTCTATACAACAGAAGAGACGATTAGGTTAATCTCAGGGATTAGGAGTTGCCCATATGAAGCAAGGTTTACCCCTAGACCGCACAGTACATACATATATGATTTGACAAAAAATAATTTAACAAGTTTTTAAGACTTGCACAAACACTTTCCAATTTTTTTTGCATAATCAACTAGGCAAATGCTCCAACTTTGTCTAAATGATCAGTGTAACTTGAAAAACAAGAGGATCAAATTAATTTTAAAAATGAATATTGAAAACTTCAGATTTTCAATTCAGAATAAAAAATATGAACCATCAATAATTGTTCATTTAACATTATTATTCTCTCAGAATAGCATATGATCTTCATTTTCATCAAATTAGTATATAGGTTTTCAGAATAGTTTGCTGTAAAAAAGAATCGTCAATAGGGTATTTAAAATTTGCTGCAAATTTAGACCCAAAAAAATTATAACTCCAAATTTATAAAGTTTATGAAAATCCATTCTGATGGGATTGTAGAACAGACAGCAGAGCACACAATATGTCAAAATAGTGATAATGGATTAATAACTGGAATTTTAGAAGCCACTCAAAGTTGAAACTCTGGTTTCAGAGATAATTGAAGTTGAAGTTATCAACACTGAATAAAGGTTTTTTTAATTCGTTAATTTAATTGTATGTTTTAATAAACATTGTTTGGCACTCGTACTCAAATATGTGAAAGTTGTAGGTCAATGTGTGTTGAAATGAAGTCGAGAAAAAATAACCCCCAAAAAACACAAAATATGGGAATAGTTATAATAATTATACTTTAGGGAATATAGTTAGGGTATACTTTATAAAAGTGAAAAAGCCTTAATATGGTCCTTAATCATCAATACAACCAAAAGAGACAAAGAATATATAGTTTGAAATCAGAGAAAAAATCGGCCCCCAAAAATTCAAAGTCCCAAGTTTTGCGAGTTGTGACTGATTTATTTGTTGACCAATTCCATTCTTATCTTCACATAGGTTAGGAAACATATGCATTCTCCAGGATGTTAAGGTTACAACAAAGTCACATAATAAACAAAGGAGAAAAAAAAAATCTTAAAAAAAAAATCCCCTAAAAAATATTTTTGGGACATTGATGAAAGTAACGTATACAGCATTATATGATTCCATTGATGAAAGTAACGTATACAGCATTATATGATTCCATTGATGAAAGTAACGTATACAGCATTATATGATTCCATTGATGAAAGTAACGTATACAGCATTATATGATTCCATTGATGAAAGTAACGTATACAGCATTATATGATTCGACCAATTTTTTTAATTAGGTTCTTAGTCAAGTGTTTTTATCTCTTCAGATCAGCTTGCCAAGTCGACCAGTGATATCCATCGTCGTCGTAAAAGAAGGCATAGAAGTGCTTGGTCTCGTGGTGAAATTAAAGCTCCAAAGAAAAAGAGAATTATTGACAAGGATCCAGCCGAGAAGAAGGAATTAGAAATAGAAAATGAGGAGGCAAAAACTGAAGAGGAAGGAGAAGTGGAGGAGAAAAATACAAGTTTAGAGTTATCAGAGAAGGTCACAGATGAGGGTGAGAAGAGTGAAGATGATGTCAGTGTTCACTCAACTTGCAACTTGGAAGACGGGGAAAGGAGTATAAAAGATTCACCTATTTTGAAAGTTAATGTGGAAGAGGTACGAGTCTAATGCATCATATATTCCTTTTATAGTTCTGTTACTAATGTTGCCATTATCACACTTTATTTTTTATGCCTTCAAAAATTTCTTGTCTTATTATAAGTTATGAGATGAAAGAAATTTTTTTTCGCTTAGTTTGTATTTACTAAGAAATGTCTTGTGCTATGATCCTAATGTAGATATAGTAGTAAGAATTTGTAGGTGTAGGATAAGGATTGATGGGTGTCGGGTAATGGTTGATGGCTTGATGTTTGCAGCATAAACTGATGTTTACATTAAGGACTATTATGACAATGAGATATTGATAATACTGGAGTACAATCTTCTTAGATGTGACAAGAAACACAGGCTACAAGGGGGGGGGTTAGGCTGTATATCAAAAAGACACTCATCTGCACAGAACTGCTAAACACCTCAAATGATAGTGGAAGTGCTGATAATTAAAATATAAATTATAACTGTGGTGGTTGTCCTTGTATATAAATCACCAGATACAAATCCTCAATAGTTTAAAAGACCAACGTACGAAAATAGAAAACTGCTTAGAAAACATCACAAACCCTGCCCCTACCATCATCTTGCTTTGTGATTTCAACTTGTAGCATCTAAAATTGAAAAATGTGACAAATATTGTTATAGCAGAAAAAATCCCAGGAAGCAGTCTAAATGAGCAGTCACACACAAGTGACCACTAGCTGATGTGTGACAGATTTGCTTTAAAGCAGCAAATAGTAGAGCCAGCTAGGAAAGAAAACACCCTAGACCTTATTTTTACAAAGATGAATTGATTAGGAGCATAATGATTACATGTTACTCGGATCACAACCTGATCAAAGTTTAGATAAGCATGGGCAATAGACCTGTGCAGCCAGTCTCAAATACAAGAGGAGGAAGATTCACCAAATTCAAATTTCATTAACAAACTGATTAACTGGGAACAAATTAACAAAGACTTTGAAGAAATATGCTGGAAAGAACAACTAGATAATGTGAACTTAAACCGGTGCTTTGAGAAACTATGCACAGTAGTACTAGTAATATGTGGAGGAAGGCACATAACACCAAGGAGAAAAAAAAAAAAGAGGAAAGAGGCTAACTGGAATGAGAATGGCGCTCCCTCTATATGCAAAGAAAACAAATCACAAAGCATCTCAAATGCTCTACTACCTTCCAACATTGACAAGGAAGACTAGGCAGAGAAATGGATACAATTGAGCTCAAGCTGCAAAAATCATATAAAATCCATGAAAGGGAAAGAGAGCAAAAGGCCAAAGTGAAATAGAGAGGAATCCAAAATACTTTTTTCTATGCAAAATCTAGAATAAATACTATATCTAGCATTGGGCCCTTGCGCAAGGATGCTGAAACTTTTGCAAATGACAACAAAGAAATTAGTGAAATAAATTCTTTGTGAATTTGACATTAATGTCGAACCAAATATCAGATGTCACCCTAACCCCCACTGAACTTTGAAGTAGCTATAGACAGCATGCCCATGCACTCTGCACCAGGCTGAGACTCTTGGAATTCTGTGTTCATCAAGAAGAGCAAAACACCACTGTCACAGGCCTATCCCTAACTTGTATACTATGCAAGGTGATTGAGAAGATCGAGAGTATATAGTTAGTAGAATATTTGGAGAGAAGGGGCTTTTGTATCACACCACCAGCATGATGAGTTCAGGGATGGTATATCTTGCCTCACAAGTTTAATAAAATTCTATGACCAGTTATCAAAAATTAGGCAAGAAAGAGAAGGGTGGGCAGACTGCATTTTTTTTGATGGTCAAAAAGCCTTTAACACAAAAGAGAGAGTTACTGTGAGGGGGGAAGACCTCAGAGTGGCAAGATGTCACCAGCGGAGTCCAAGAAGGCTCTGTACTTGGACCCATCCTTTTTCTGATATATGTAAATGATCTTCCAGAAAGTATAATCACGTTCCACTCAATGTTTGCTAATGATGCTAAGATTATGAGAATGATAAAGACCGAGGAAGATCGAAAGAGACTACACAATAACCTGGACAAACTGGAGGAATGGTCTAGAAAATGGCTAAATTAGTTTAACTTCAGTAAGTGTAAAGTAATGAAATTAGGGTGCTAATTAATTTTTGGGTGCTTAGAAAAGGAAATATCATCTAGGGGTGGACAGCAGCAGAAGGGGTGAAAATAGTAGGTTTAGGAGAAGGCCTCAATTCAAAGGAAAATATGAGAAAGACAAGAACTGCCCTTTAAGAGTGACATTTAATGGAGTGAAACAAAGTGATAGAAGTGCTGAGAAATACCAGGAAATTGCAGTGTGATGAGTTTGGGAAACTTTGGTCAATAAGATAAGACCTCTCAAAGGAAGATAAAATCTGAAAACAAACCTCGATGAAGCGAAACGTCTAAATGGGAATAGAAATGAAGAAGAAAGAAATTAATTTTTCTACAAAGTGTTAGGAACGAGAAAGCTAGTGAAATGGCACATAAAAACAAAGCAAGACAATCATTAGAGGAAGGTGGAGTAAAAGGACAAAGGGTAAGGGAACATGTTCTTGAAAATTGTATATACCAACATAGATGGAGTGAGATAAGAAATACTGGAGCCAAGAGATATAATTCAACTTAGTCCCAAATATTGTCGCACTGACAGAGACAAAAGTTGAAGAAAAATATTTTAAAACTAGAAAGGAGGGGAGAATGGCTGTGCTGGTGATCCTGAAGGTAAGAGCTAATAATCAAAAACCCTCAAGAAGTTGACATATTGGCATTTGCAGGTCTGGAATTGGGATGATAAACTGGTAATTGTAAATGCCTACAGCCCACCAGCAAGCAACATATGGACAAAGGAGGAACTGGATGACAAACAAGAGGGCCTCATAATGGCCAAGAGAGAGATTGTAGAATGGGCAGATAGAGATAAGTCACGATTGTTAGTACTGCCTATCTGGACCTAAAAAAGGCTTTGGCAGTCCCACACAGAAGGCTGTTCTGAAAACTGAAACATGTTGGAGGAGTGACAGGGAGACTTCTGACATGGATGAAAAACTTTCTAACCGACAGACAGATGAGGGCGGTAATCAGAGACAACGTTGACTGGAGGAGTGTTACTAGTGGAGTAGCACAGGGTTCATTTCTTGCACTAGTAATGTTAATCATCTACAAAAATGATCTACCATAAGAAATACAGAATTATATGAACATGTTTGCAGATAGTGGGGAAGATAGATAGTGATAGTGATTTGCTAAGATAGTGGGGAAGATAGGAGACCCAGATGATTGTAATGCCCTTCATATTGATCTAGATAAAATAAGTGGTTGGAGCATCAAGTGGCAAATGGAATTAAATGTGAATAAATGCCATGTTATGGAATGTGGAAATAGACCACACACACAACTTACAAATTATGTGGAAAGGCATTACAGAACTCTAATAAAGAATGAGACCTAAGGGTGGTTTTGGATAGTATGCTGTTGCCAGAGCAACACACACAAAGAACATTGTGAGAGGTGCATATGCGTCACTTTCCAACTCCAGACTTGCTTTTAATTATATGGATGGTGAAACAGAAACAAAAACTGCTCATGACTTTTTTTGAGACCAAAATTGGAATATGCAGCTGTTGTATGGTACCCAAATCTCAAGAAGCACATAAACTGGAAAAGGTGCAACTGCATGCTAGAAAATGGCTTCCGGAACTGAAAAACAAGAGTTACGAGGAGAGACTAGAGGCGTTAAACATGCCGAAACTAGAAAATAGAAGAACGAGAGGTGATATGATCACCACTTACAAAATACTAACAGAAATAAGCAAAATTGACAAAGAGGATTTCCTGAAACCAGCCACTTCACAAACAAGAGGACATAGATTCAAGCTAAGAAAATAGAGGTGCCGAAAAATATTAGAACAATTTGTTTTGCAAACAGAGTGGTAAATGGTTGGAACAAGCTAAGTGAGAAGGTGATGAATGCCAAAACCGTCAGTAGTTTCAAAGTGTTATACGACAGAGTACTGGGAAGACGGGACACCACAAGCGTAGCTCTTATTCTGTAAGTACACTTAAGTAATTACTAGTTGATTGACAGTTGAGAGGCAGGACCAAAGAGCTGAAGCTCAACCCCTACAAGCACAACGAGATGAGTACAGGCCCTAAACATCTTTTGGAGGCAATGCCTAGATACTGGTGTTATCCCTGCCCTACTTAAAACAGCAGAGATCGCACTACTTTTCAAAGGAGGTAGTAAAGCAGATGCCAAAAATTATAGACTAATATTCCTAACATCACACATCGAAGGGGATACCGTGTGCCAGCCCGAGGCTTTGGGTGCACACAGGAATAGCCTTGGAAAAAAAAAATCTTTGAAAGAGTGCTAAGAAGTAAAATCACAAATCACATGGAATTGCAATGTCTACATAACCACAGACATCATGAGTTCAGAATTGAGTGCTCTTGCCTCTCACTGTTGCTAGACCACAATGACATGGCCTGAAATACCATTGAAGAGAAGCAAAATGCTGATGTAATATACATAAACTTTGAAAAGCTTTCGACAAATCTGACCATGTTGTTATTGCACACAAAATGCATTCAAAAGGAATTATTGGAAGTTTGTTAGGAACTGCCTAACAGACAAAACCCAAGGGGTAGTTGTCAACAAAGACAAATTTGGATCATCATCTGTGAAAAGCTCAGTCCCCCAAATGTGGTTGTTTGTTCATAGTTCACTGAACTATATGTGCAGTACTGTATTACAGATCTCTAATGCTGTCCATGGAGGACAGAAGAAAATGTATATATGCTGGTTGTATGGCCACATCTGTGGTAGAAAAAAGGAAAAGAAAAAAGTACTTTTAAATTTACTAAATTCTAAATGTATCATCTGAAGTATTGTAATTTGTTCTGATGAATAACATAAGTAGCACTGTTGTTTTCCCCGTGAGGTTTACTTTGCTACACATTAGTTGTACTGTGTTGAGTGATTCCTCCTATACCAGACATGTCTGATAAGTCATTTTTTCTTTCAGGGTCATGTAGATTCTGAAGTTGTTTTATATAATGGTCACCTGAGCACCGAGGATAGCCATGATAGTATGAAAGTAACATCTGCAGCTGATGAGCTTGCTGCTCAGGCATCTACCTCAAGTACTATAAAAGAGCCAAGGGATAGCAGCAAGGGAGAGGTGGAAGATAAAACTCGTGATACTACACTGGAGACCGAAGATTCTGTTGGTAAGTAAATACGGTATAGTCAACTGGTGTGTAATTTTAATATACATAAGGTGCTATCAATGTAATATTAACAAAATTATGATAATGATGCACTGATGTAGTTTTATTAATTGTTTTAGGTGTTAGTACTATTATTAAATTACTGCAGCCCAGTAAAGCTGGGTAAAGGTTTGTCAAGCCGAGGGTGCATCATATGTTGTGTCCAGTTACGGCTCTTTGCCGTTATCCGCGCGCCTCAGCCTCCGTGGCCGGGGATGCTCTTTGGATTGATCTGGTTTCCCCTCATTCCCTGTTCCAGGGCTCGGGTCTCCCAGGTTGTCCGCAGGGTTATTAAGTCTAGTAAGCCTGCGGTCTATTCCCGTGCTTATGACGTTCGTAAGTTTGCTGCTTTGGCTGCCGTCTTCGGCAACCTGTCTGCGGCTGACATTTGAGCGTTGGGATTTTGGAGGTCGATCAGGGTCCTGGCCGCCCGTTATTTGGTGAACATTCCTGGTCTTGGGCATTCGTGTGTGGATTTGGGTCGCAGGTTGCTGCCAGTTGTCTCGCCTTCAAGTTGAGGAGCGTGTGGCGGCTGCCTCCCAGGCAGACAGGGGTAAGTCCCTCTTTTTACTTGGGTTATGTAGCTCCAGGGAGCCAAAGGGGCTCCCCACATAAAACCAGTGTTGAACGTAATGAAATGCCATTTTCTGTGTGAGCTCCAGAGCCTCCCTGACAGCCTCCCTCCCTCCAGTCGGCAGTTTCGTTTTGTTTTTAATGCTTAGCCTCTGAACTGGGGTTGAGTAGCCGGCATAATGGGTCCGGGGCTTACCCCTCCAAGGGAGAGGAGGGCTGCGCAGAGAAGCCACACGGTGGCGGTGGTGTGATGTTTGCTTGTTTTTTTGAGAGTTGGGAGAGTTCTACCTCCCTGTTTGGTTTTCGGTTGGAATTTTCTCACCAAGTTGGGTTTGCTTTGTTAAGCCTACCTTTCTGGATGCCTAACCCTAGTCAATGGCAGAAAAGGAGTAACCCCAACCACAGGAGAGGTTTTCCAGAGGCCATTGTTTCCTTGTCTCTCTGAGGGGGCCAGATTCTGGCGTGTGGTCCCCGTTAGGCTGAACTCCATTGACTAATGCCCTAGACTAATATATTTCGCATATTAGCCCGATAGCTCTAGGGAACCTTCGGGGCTCACCCAGAAAATGGCATTTCATTACATTCAATGCTGAGTTTTTGACCATTTGCTTGTGGGAATCTGGCTTCTCAACTGTCAAAGTACCAAAGCACAATTCAAAGGAGATATTTCCTGTAAGTCAGATTGCACCAGGATAACAAGCAACAAATAGACCCCTAAACGCACTGAATTAGTAAGCCTAATTAAAAATTTCTCCTCTGCTTTACTTCAGACTTCACCAAAATGCACTTGTGAACAATTAATGAAAGCAAGTTTGTATGTATGTCTGTATCATACAAGTAAGAACATACAGTACAGTATCATATTGCATTTTTGTTTATGTAAAAAAAAAAGGGTGCTAGTACTCTGCATGTGTACGTGATGAATGTCAGTAGATCATAAGGTTATTGCTGAAAACTAAACAGGTCTCAGGTGAAAACATTTGAAGAACTCTGCTTTTGGGTAAAGTGACAATTAGCAGTCCCTGTTAAACTCTTGTTACATAATTTGATTACATTAAACAGTTTTATGCATTTTGGTTCATGGATAAATAATAACTAATTATTATTAATAATAATATAAAAATATATAATAATAATAATAATAATAATAATAATAAATTACACATGTATCAAATATCAGTGAATATATTTTAAAGTACCGGTACATTTACAATAATTAAATATACGCAGGATAAATGTTAGTCAGTAATTTCTCCTTTATGAAATTCCTGAAGTAATATTTTGTGTGTTTTAGATTACATTCCTTTCCTCCTTAAAATCACTCTTTGGGGTTTACAAAAATTTTTTACCTTTTTATATATATATATATATATATATATATATATATATATATATATATATATATATATATATATATATATAACATATATATATATATATATATATATATATATATATATATATATATATATATATATACATATATATATATATATATATATATATATATATATATATATATATATATATATATATATATATATATATATATATTAAATATGACCGAAAAAGTAAGATTAATAATTCTAACACGAATTTTCTCAATCTTTCGTACATTACGCTTCACTGTTGGAGGTAAATCAAAAATCACTTCTCCAAAATTCATTTTTATTTCTAGTCTGACGCGACACGGGCGCGTTTCGTAAAACTTATTACATTTTCAAAGACTTCACAAATACACAACTGATTAGAACTTGCGTTTCCCTGATTTTATATCTACATTTGAGTGAGGTGGGAAGGGTGATGTGGCATTACATTTGAGTGAGGTGGGAAGGGTGATGTGGCATTAACACAAGACAGAACACTAGGGGATATTAATAGGGTATTAAAAGTATCAACACAAGACAGAACAGAAACAATGGGTATTGAATAGAAGTGTTTGTAGAAAGCCTATTGGTCCATATTTCTTGATGCTTCTATATTGGAGCGGAGTCTTGAGGTGGGTAGAATATAGTTGTGCAATAATTGGCTGTTGATTGCTGGTGTTGACTTCTTGATGTGTAGTGCCTCGCAAACGTCAAGCCGCCTGCTATCGCTGTATCTATCGATGATTTCTGTGTTGTTTACTAGGATTTCTCTGGCGATGGTTTGGTTATGGGAAGAGATTATATGTTCCTTAATGGAGCCCTGTTGTTTATGCATCGTTAAACGCCTAGAAAGAGATGTTGTTGTCTTGCCTATATACTGGGTTTTTTGGAGCTTACAGTCCCCAAGTGGGCATTTGAAGGCATAGACGACGTTAGTCTCTTTTAAAGCGTTCTGTTTTGTGTCTGGAGAGTTTCTCATGAGTAGGCTGGCCGTTTTTCTGGTTTTATAGTAAATCGTCAGTTGTATCCTCTGATTTTTGTCTGTAGGGATAACGTTTCTATTAACAATATCTTTCAGGACCCTTTCCTCTGTTTTATGAGCTGTGGAAAAGAAGTTCCTGTAAAATAGTCTAATAGGGGGTATAGGTGTTGTGTTAGTTGTCTCTTCGGAGGTTGCATGGCTTTTCACTTTCCTTCTTATGATGTCTTCGATGAAACCATTGGAGAAGCCGTTATTGACTAGGACCTGCCTTACCCTACAGAGTTCTTCGTCGACTTGCTTCCATTCTGAGCTGTGGCTGAGAGCACGGTCGACGTATGCGTTAACAACACTCCTCTTGTACCTGTCAGGGCAGTCGCTGTTGGCATTTAGGCACATTCCTATGTTTGTTTCCTTTGTGTAGACTGCAGTGTGGAAACCTCCGCCCTTTTCCATGACTGTTACATCTAGAAAAGGCAGCTTCCCATCCTTTTCCGTCTCGTAAGTGAAACGCAGCACGGAACTCTGCTCAAATGCCTCCTTCAGCTCCTGCAGATGTCTGACATCAGGTACCTGTGTAAAAATGTCGTCAACATACCTGCAGTATATGGCCGGTTTCAAGTTCATGTCGACTAAGACTTTTTGCTCGATGGTACCCATGTAGAAGTTTGCAAACAGGACACCTAGGGGAGAACCCATGGCGACCCCATCTACTTGCTTATACATGTGCCCATCCGGGCTCAAGAAGGGTGCCTCTTTAGTACAAGCTTGGAGTAGTTTCCTCAGAATACTTTCTGGCATGTCAAGAGGAGTACAGGCTGGATCACGATACACTCTGTCGGCTATCATTCCGATTGTCTCGTCCACAGGTACGTTGGTAAACAGCGATTCTACGTCCAACGAGGCTCTTATCCCTGTGGCCCGTGCGCCCCGCAGTAAGTCCACAAATTCTCTGACCAAACTAAGTTCCAAAGGGCAACGAAGGACACTACAGCCGAATTAAAAGCAAAGGTCAACAAACTGATCGAAACTGTGAACGCCAAGAAATCCGGACTCCACCTGCCAAAGATCATTGGGGAATATAAACCTGGATATGCGTATGGAAATGTCAAGACGCACAAGCCTGGAAACCCACTTCGGCCAATCATTAGCCAGATACCCACACCCACGTACAGACTGGCGAAGCGACTCAACGGCCTGCTGACTCCTTATGTTCCTTGCGCCTTCAGCCTGAAGTCTCCAAAGGAATTTGTGGACTTACTGCGGGGCGCACGGGCCACAGGGATAAGAGCCTCGTTGGACGTAGAATCGCTGTTTACCAACGTACCTGTGGACGAGACAATCGGAATGATAGCCGACAGAGTGTATCGTGATCCAGCCTGTACTCCTCTTGACATGCCAGAAAGTATTCTGAGGAAACTACTCCAAGCTTGTACTAAAGAGGCACCCTTCTTGAGCCCGGATGGGCACATGTATAAGCAAGTAGATGGGGTCGCCATGGGTTCTCCCCTAGGTGTCCTGTTTGCAAACTTCTACATGGGTACCATCGAGCAAAAAGTCTTAGTCGACATGAACTTGAAACCGGCCATATACTGCAGGTATGTTGACGACATTTTTACACAGGTACCTGATGTCAGACATCTGCAGGAGCTGAAGGAGGCATTTGAGCAGAGTTCCGTGCTGCGTTTCACTTACGAGACGGAAAAGGATGGGAAGCTGCCTTTTCTAGATGTAACAGTCATGGAAAAGGGCGGAGGTTTCCACACTGCAGTCTACACAAAGGAAACAAACATAGGAATGTGCCTAAATGCCAACAGCGACTGCCCTGACAGGTACAAGAGGAGTGTTGTTAACGCATACGTCGACCGTGCTCTCAGCCACAGCTCAGAATGGAAGCAAGTCGACGAAGAACTCTGTAGGGTAAGGCAGGTCCTAGTCAATAACGGCTTCTCCAATGGTTTCATCGAAGACATCATAAGAAGGAAAGTGAAAAGCCATGCAACCTCCGAAGAGACAACTAACACAACACCTATACCCCCTATTAGACTATTTTACAGGAACTTCTTTTCCACAGCTCATAAAACAGAGGAAAGGGTCCTGAAAGATATTGTTAATAGAAACGTTATCCCTACAGACAAAAATCAGAGGATACAACTGACGATTTACTATAAAACCAGAAAAACGGCCAGCCTACTCATGAGAAACTCTCCAGACACAAAACAGAACGCTTTAAAAGAGACTAACGTCGTCTATGCCTTCAAATGCCCACTTGGGGACTGTAAGCTCCAAAAAACCCAGTATATAGGCAAGACAACAACATCTCTTTCTAGGCGTTTAACGATGCATAAACAACAGGGCTCCATTAAGGAACATATAATCTCTTCCCATAACCAAACCATCGCCAGAGAAATCCTAGTAAACAACACAGAAATCATCGATAGATACAGCGATAGCAGGCGGCTTGACGTTTGCGAGGCACTACACATCAAGAAGTCAACACCAGCAATCAACAGCCAATTATTGCACAACTATATTCTACCCACCTCAAGACTCCGCTCCAATATAGAAGCATCAAGAAATATGGACCAATAGGCTTTCTACAAACACTTCTATTCAATACCCATTGTTTCTGTTCTGTCTTGTGTTGATACTTTTAATACCCTATTAATATCCCCTAGTGTTCTGTCTTGTGTTAATGCCACATCACCCTTCCCACCTCACTCAAATGTAATGCCACATCACCCTTCCCACCTCACTCAAATGTAGATATAAAATCAGGGAAACGCAAGTTCTAATCAGTTGTGTATTTGTGAAGTCTTTGAAAATGTAATAAGTTTTACGAAACGCGCCCGTGTCGCGTCAGACTAGAAATAAAAATGAATTTTGGAGAAGTGATTTTTGATTTACCTCCAACAGTGAAGCGTAATGTACGAAAGATTGAGAAAATTCGTGTTAGAATTATTAATCTTACTTTTTCGGTCATATTTAATAATATATGTCTACAGGAAAGACTGCTACCAAAATATACTAATATATATATATATATATATATATATATATATATATATATATATATATATATATATATATATATATATATATATATATATATATATATATATATTCACTTGTACACAAGCACTTGGGAAATGTGAATCGTCTCCACCTTCTTCAGGTTTGTTTCACTGTATGACAAGTTAGCATTAAATTTTGTGTACCATAGTACAAGAGCATTTGTAACTGAAAATACTGCAAAAATATCAATTGCTTGGATAAATAATGGTTACATTTTCTGAATTTGGTACTTAATTGCTCCCAATGGCAATGCCCTCCTGGTCAAAGGACAGGTCTCTGTTCCATTTTATATCTTGTATAAATTTTCTTGTTGTGCTTTTGAATTTTCTGAATTTATTTCTTGTCCTGGTATTTTGGAAGGCTCCTTAATGCTAACTACGTAGACAGTTCCACCCACTTGAGTCAGTGCCAGGCTCTTATAAGTTATTGTAAGCCTACTGGAAACTGGAAGGTGAGTAAACTAAAACATACAAACAGCAAGATAACCAAAGCATAGCAAAGAAAAGTACAAAGCCGAGAGACTTAATTAATCATGCAGTCATGAAGCAGTTGTGTTGTTAGTTGCACTTGTGCACCACTAGGGGGAATGTACATCTTCCCTCTCATTACCCTTGAACCTCGCTCATTTTGTTTGGCATGCACATTTGATATGGTTACACCTCATTCCTGTCATCTCTTCGAGTCCAGGTTATTCAGATAACAGTTGTCCATCATGGACATTGTTTTTGTGCCGCGGGGATCATTTGCTTGTATATATGTTCTTTAGTGTTTGCTTCACAAAGCATGTTTTATTATACCCCAATTTCTTGTATGTAACTGATAAACTGTTCACCTAGAACTGCACATCAGGGAGCCGGCCAGCCGAGCGGACAGCACGTTGGACACGTGATCATGTGGTCCTGGGTTCGATCCCGGGCGCCAGCGAGAAACGATGGGCTAAGTTTCTTTCACTCTATGCCCCTGTTACCTAGCAGTAAATAGGTACCTGGGAGTTAGTCAGCTGTCACAGGCTGCTTCTTGGGGGTGGAGGCCTGGTCGAGGACCGAGCTGCGGGGACACTAAAGCCCCGAAATCAACTCAAGATAATCACATGTCTAGAGTAATTATTTCTGGATGTTTGCTGTTGTTGCCTCTGCTTAGCCAGGGTTATTTTCCCAAGTGAGTTCGGATGGGCTGTCTCTGAAAGTGCCATACTCCTGTGAGAGAGCTGCACCCTGAGCAGTGCATGGGTTTTTTTTTTACTCCTCTGTATGACTTTGAGGATGGAGACAGTTTGGGGGCTTTCTTTGAAGGTGTTCGGTGGTTCCACGTGTTTCCCCTCTTCCTCTCCTGTTCAACGTAGCGTGTCTTTGGTCACTTTGGCATCCTTCTTTGCCAGGTCTGCCCTTGTTGGCTTTGCTTTTTAAAAGGTTGGAATTTGTCAGATGGTGGCTGCAGGATGGCTTTTTGTTGTGGAGTTTAGTGAGCATGGGATGCTCTGAGTCAGTCATTTTGTGTTATGGTTTCTGGTTGAGCAGTTGGTTTCTACATAAGTTAATGGCAGGTACATGATGTCCGGGGTTCTCGGTTTCCTGGAGGCACATAACTGGTAGGCTGATTTGGCCAGATCATTTATAGCAAGTAGTTATGTTGTGCGTCCTACTCTGGCACCTTGCCATCTATTATTGCAATTAACAGTGATGCTGGTGGTATTATATTATTGTTATGGCACCCACCAATGAACTAAGCTAAAACCCATTGCTCAGATCATTGCTTTAACCCTTGGGCAGCGCAGCTATTAATAGCTGACAACAAAGCTGTGCACAAGAAAAAAATTCCTTCTACTAACATTGTTAGTAGAAGGAAGTTTTCTTCTTTCCTCGTTTGAAGGAAGAAGAGAAGGAAGTAGTTTTCCCTTTCTTATCATGGGGGGGGGGGGGGAAATCGTAGGGGACATATTTTGCCCAGAATATGGCGAGGAAGTCTAGCAAGATACAGGCACTGAAAAGTACACGTCCGGGGCAGATCTCCTCCAGCCGAGCCATCACTTGGCTGGAGAAGACCAGCCACCTGAAGTCTTTCTTTGTGGTGTTCCACAGAGATGACCCAATTATTTCAATGTTTATGATTGATTTGTTTCTGTCTTTGTTTTTGCATTAATATTATTCAATAGTGTGTGGTCTGATATATTTATATAATGTGAGAACCATTGCTGTACTCAAAAGTATGGTGAGCATATTAGTTATTCAACTATGTTCATCAAACAATAAAAGAATATTTTTATTACACTATACTCTACACATTTTATATATACAAGTATCATGTTTTGTTCATCATAACCGTACAACTAAGCTGGTATGGTGTCCAAACAGCATAGTGGCCACCATACACTGACAAGTCATACACTAGCCAGCTGACAACGCCACCTCCCTCTCCCCTCACCAACATTGCTCCTCACAGCATGCTATGCACATCGCTAATTCTCATCACAATGCTGCTATTATCAGAATCCTGATCACTAAATCCTGCAAATAAATAATTTTCCACAATAAACATCATTGTGTTCACTGATATCTGAACTTTTTTTTTCAGCCTTTATCACAGGTTCATTTGTAATACTGTCATCGTTAAATAATAGCTGTTACATATATGTGTTTACATTTGTAAGCAATGTTGTGGTCACAAGCTGAACAGCAGTGCTGTTAGCTCATGCTGCATGTGCCAGCCTTGGTTGGTCACAAAGTACTAAGGCCTTCAAACCCAGGAATGGTACCCATGATTTTTAATTTAAATGGCGTCTGTTTACTGGGGCCCTCAGGCAGCTGATGTGAACCTTGTGTAGCCACAGGACTTTTAAACTTTATGTGGTACTTTAACAGTATATTGTATATACAGTGTGCATTGTGCAGGTAATTAGACCAAAATCATATGCAGTATGATTAGTTCCAGTCAAGGGTTGAAGCAATAATCTGAGCAATGTTTTTTAGCTTAGTTCCTTGGTGGTTGCCATAACAATACCACCAACACCACTGTTTATTGCAATAACAGATGGCAGGGTGCCAGAGTAGGACATGGTCACGCATAACCACTCACTTTGAATGCCCGGAGGCCAAATCAGCCGACCAGCTGTGTGCCTCCGGGAAGCCAGGGAACCTCTTTTGACGTCATGTACCCGGAGCTAACTTCTGTCTCTCATATTTCACCCACAAAACTATTACTCTTTTTATGCAATAAATATGCACTGCCTCAAGTAGGGTGGCCCATGCTTCTGTCGAGTACAGTAGAACATGTGGAGATATAAATGTACCAAATTCAATATCTATGAGGCAGGGCCCAAGAGCTAGTGCTCACGTGTTTGTGCCAACTGTTCAATATTATTGACTTACTATTTATATAAATGTTTTTTTCTAGGATACTGAAGCTGAAATTAGGCGTTTTACACAATTCCACAAGAAGAGCTGAGTGTGTGGGATTGTAAGCTGGAGTATATGCCGGGCATGAAAGTGTTGTGCTCTTGACGTAGATTCTCAAGACTCGTGTGTACTGCCTATTTCACTATGAAATACTGGGGGTAGAATTTTCCATGTTTTATTTAACAAGCATTGTATAAAAATATTCTTGGTATTTTCTTTATTATAATATAAAGAGTGTTTGAAGTTCTAATTTTCAAAATACAGAGATGTGTAATATTATATTTTAGATTTGAGTTTTAATGGTTTTGCAGTATTACCAAAGTTCTAAAGGTGTATGTGCTATAGGTTAAGTGATTCTCTATAATATATTTACAACAGATTAGTGGTCTGTTAGGTACCTGATTATTTTGCAACCAAAATATTTTCATTAATTTAATAGTCTTATAGTGTTGCACAGAGCTGAGGACTTTGGTCTTTTTCTATTTCTTGATCATTTTAGTGTGAGAATCAGTAATTATGAAGATTTCATCTGCATGTAGGAACACTGATACCAGAATTATTCATTATACCATAAATAATTTATGAAATATCATACCTTGCACACATTCATTAATGTTTAAGCCACTGTATCATAAAGTCTTGAAAGTCATTCTTCATGTTCTTCATAATTGGTGATCAATCTGCCTGTGTCCTGCTATTTTGCTACCCTTGCTCAAGGTATTAGGTTAGGGAACAATCAGATGAATATTACTAAATACTGTTAACATATGTGTCACTGCCAGTATCATCAACCATTCACCTACACTGCCATATTCACAGGTGAGCAATTTTATGCTGTAGCCTAAAGGTAGAAGTGTTGATATTTCAGTGTTTGCATTAGTACTTGCTGCTACCTCTATATCCCCACTCCTCTCCCCCCCCCCCCCCTCCTCCCCCCCCCCTCCCTCTCCCCCCCCCCCCCCTCCCCCCCCCCATAAACTCCTTCCTTGTAAGTGGTTTTCATGGAACCAAGTGATGGGTGGAGTAATATTTGTGCCAGATTTGGAAAAAAAACTCTGCACTAATATTAATATTCATTCCTTACAATTCAGTTTGTCGTATGGGGAGTTTCCCACTCATTATTTGTGATATTTAAGTCATTGCTCTTATTTCATGTGATGCCTATTAGTTTATTGGCAGTTTTGTTGATTTGTTTGGCTATATATATTATCAACTTAATTTATTGTAAATGGCCCGACAGTTATGTGGGCACGTCTATTGTCGAAGTAATGTTCAGTTCATGAAAATGTTTTCAAACCTTTCTTACCAATAAATACTGTACTGATATTTAATTTTGTTTGTCGACATTTGTTATTAGAGACCTCACTAACATGGTCTGGGATGTTACTGGGACCTCACTAACATGGTCTGGGATGTTACTGGGACCTCACTAACATGATCTGGGATGCTACTGGGACCTCACTAACATGGTCTGGGATGTTACTGGGACCTCACTAACATGGTCTGGGATGTTTCTGGGACCTCACTAACATGTCTGGGATGTTACTGGGACCTCACTAACATGGTCTGGGATGTTTCTGGGACCTCACTAACATGTCTGGGATGTTACTGGGACCTCACTAACATGGTCTGGGATGTTACTGGGACCTCACTAACATGGTCTGGGATGTTACTGGGACCTCACTAACATGTCTGGGATGTTACTGGGACCTCACTAACATGGTCTGGGATGTTACTGGGACCTCACTAACATGATCTGGGATGCTACTGGGACCTCACTAACATGGTCTGGGATGTTCCTGGGACCTCACTAACATGTCTGGGATGTTACTGGGACCTCACTAACATGTCTGGGATGTTACTGGGACCTCACTAACATGGTCTGGGATGTTACTGGGACCTCACTAACATGACTGAGATGTTACTGGGACCTCACTAACATGTCTGGGATGTTACTGGGACCTCACTAACATGGTCTGGGATGTTACTGGGACCTCACTAACATGGTCTGGGATGTTACTGGGACCTCACTAACATGTCTGGGATGTTACTGGGACCTCACTAACATGGTCTGGGATGTTACTGGGACCTCACTAACATGTCTGGGATGTTACTTGCCTTTGTGTGTCATTTAAAGTCAATGTTTGGACAGGTTTTTGGCCACTAAATTTGGAAAAACCTCATTAGAAATTTAGCCCTTTACAATTTTGTTATGAGAAATGTTTTATGTGTACTATTTTCTTTGTTTTCTCTCACTGTTTTTAGACAATATCTTAATAATGCATAGAGAGATTAACTTCTTAATTGAAACACACATTCCTCAGCATTGATTATCATGTATTGGTAGCCTTTATTGGAATACCAATTTTGTATGCTATGTTTCAAGGCAGAATTTAAGCAGTGGTCCATTTGTGTTTTTTATCCAGGTTTGGATGAAACAAGCTTTATGGTGATGTATAGTGAACTTTTGTTTGATTTGTAATCTAGACACAATCTTGAAAACTGATATCTAAGGCTGTATGGATTCCCCCCCCCCCCAAGTAATTGATGACTGATGAGCTCTGAATTTGTTGTAGTCATCACTTTATGCAGTATTTTGGTCGAGAAAGGATTGGTATCATTAGTGTATTTACACAATCTATAATTTACACAATTATTGTGACCTTGAGGGTGTTCCTTATTTTACTTTATATCTTTTCAGTATTATATTTAATGCTTATATTATAGTCACCAACCCCCAATATTATTTAATCTTATATGTTAGATTCAATTTCATTTCACCAACATTTTCATTTTGCTCAAGCCAGCATTCACTGCATCTCTTAATCACCAAGACATTGAGTTCACAGTGTTAACCTGACATCACTTTTGACCTTTAGATGTCTTGCATCTTAAATCATTTCATTAAATTTCAAGGATCTCACATATCTTAGAATTTATATAAAATAGGGCAGATATAAATGGTTATAGGCTGCAACTATTCTTTTAACTTATTATTTTGTGATCCCTGTTTAAATTGCATTTTCTTTAGCATCTTTGTTTTTTGTGAAAATATAGTTTAGCAATTCAATATATGGGTTTTTTGTATGGCATTAAACCATCATGAAGTTTGTTTGATGTTTATTTGTTCTTTAAAAGACTGCTGTATATTTTGTAATATTGAGTAGGCAAAGATAAACCTTTTGATATCATATCATGAGGTATAATGCAAATATATGATTCTTGGTCAATTGCTTAATAAAGTTAGGCATCACTCCCACTACAAAAATGGAATAAAGTGCACTTTGTTTTATCTACATCACTGTATCAATGATTGCAAGTTCTGTATACAGGAAACCCTAAAAAATTCATATTAAATAGCTCCAGACCTAATCCATATTTCAATCCAGGTTTCTGAATTTTTTTGAGTATGTTTCTCCCTCCCCATCCAGCCCGTTGGCGCAGTGAGGGGGCTTAGTAGACGGCTGCTGGAGTGTGATGCTCCCTGGGACAGTCCTCTGTCCTTTTGTGGCCTTGCACTCCTGCTGCTGTCTTATCTAATTGTGCCGGATCGCTTTTCCTTTTCCTTATGTTTCATTTTTCTGCCCCCTCTTCTCCTATCTGCTTGTAGTTTCCTGCCGACCTTTTGCTTGTTTTGGTTATTCCTTTGGACTTCTTCTATTTTAATGCCCGGGTGCCTGAGGAGGCATACTCTTGCACCCATAGAACTGTAGTACCCGACGTCTCGAGCGAGGGGAACCTTTTATTGTCAATCCCCCTTTCGTCGCTGAACCTGATCTCTACGGACTGACGGTTCTTAAGGTGGCGTTTGTTGGGCGTATACTCACGACGCACCCATAGGGGGCCCTGGCATGATCGGCGATAGCTTCCTGTTGGGTGTCCTGCCTCTAATTGGGCTCCATGGTGGGTATGGGGACACATTCGTGGATGAATTTCTCTCTTCGTCTGTATGTCGATGAATGTTTCTGTTGTACCCTCTCAGGCTCATGGGGTGGGCAACCAAGCCCCCTAATCGGCTTATATTGGAAGACCGGGCTCTGTAGCCCCCGCTGCGTTGAGCCCCAACCTTGCTCCTCCTTTGACCATCCTGACATCTTCCCCCAGCTTCCCTCCCTCCTCTGTGGTTGGGTCGAGCCTCAAGCCCCCAGTGGTGACCACTTCGTCCCCTGGTGCGGCTAAGTCTCTCGTTATGACTACTGCGCCTTTTATCCCCTCTCTCTCTGGGGGTTCTCAACGCCATCAGCACCACGGCCGCACTCGCTCGATTCCTTCCCGTACTGATGCGTATCAGGCCTTGTTTGGTCCCACTTCATGGGCCAAATACTTTGATCTCCCTCCTGATTCTGTGCCTCCTGATGATTTCTCCCTCCATCGGCATCTTGTTGATTCCGTGGATGCCTCTGTTACCTTCAACCCCACTCGTCTTGGTACGTGTGTCATTGCTGCTCCTTCTAAGGATGCAGCTTCGCGCTTGGTTGCCTTATCCTGCCTTGGCAAGATCCTTGTTCGGGTCTCAAAGAACGCTCGGTTGAATGCCAGTGTTGGCACTATTCTCCTTCTGCCCCATGTTGCGACTGGTGTTCGGAATCTGCAGGACTGCCACAATGATATTCGGCATATCCTTGATGCCCAAGGCCATTCTGTCCTCCAGGTAGACTCGTTTACTCGTCCCCCTCGTGGGCGTCGCCGTCAACCCCTTTGGGTTGTGAAGATTACCTTTGATGGTAGGACCCTTCCACCCTCTGTCATTCTTGCTGGTGCCAGGTGCTCTGTCCAGGAGTACATTCCTTCTCCTAGGGTCTGTAACAAGTGCTGGAGGTTTGGGCATGGTGCCCTCCGGTGCTCTGGGACTGTCTCTCTCTGTCCTTTGTGTGGGGGCGAAGGCCACTCTAAGTCGGAGTGCACTTCTTCCCAGGCTCGCTGCCTCAACTGTGGTGAGGCCCATCCTACCTTCTCCCGTGCCTGTATCCATTACAAGCTTGAGGCGGCCGTCCTCATCTTGAAGCACCGGGAGCGTATATCTTTTCCCGAGGCGAGGCGCCAGGTTTGCCGGCTCCCGCCTTATGCTAACGTCTCTTATGCTCTCGTGTTGCACTCTTCCTCTCCTCGTCCTTCCCACCTTCCTCAGACTCACAGCCGTTTCCGGGCCTTGGACCCTGATACGCCCACTGCCCCCTCCTCTGTTCCTTTGAGTTCTGTCCCGTAGGGTCCCCCTCCTGGTCCTCAGTCTGGGGTTCCCCTTCTTTCTACCCGGTCTGTCATGTCTCCTGTGTCTTCTTCCTCGTCTCCCTCCGATCCTCCTTCCCATCCTTCTCCTCCCTCTATTGACTCTTCCCGCCGCCTGTCGATGCAGGCTGATATCCTTCGCTCTCCTTCCGGCCGTCGTGTGTGCTCTCGTTCAGCTTCTCCGGTTGAGACGCTGGAATCCGTTGCCTGGTACGTAGTTGCTGGGACACCGGTCTCTCTAAGTCAGAAGCGTAAGCCTGGCTCCTCTCCTTCCTCCTCCCCAGCGGGTAAGAAGGCTTCGCTTTCTTCCTCGGCCCCTACTACTGGCTCTATTGCTCCTTCCCCTCCCATTTCAGTGGTTGTGCCCCATGTTCCTGCTATGGAGGTTTCTTTGGCCCCCGCTTCCCTCTCGGTTGCTGCCCTTGCTGAGGTGCACTCTCCTCTTTCTATTCCCCCCTCTTCCTGCTGCTGTCCTTGACTGCTCCTCTCCGTTGTTTCCTCCTCCAGACACCGCCCGCCCACCTCTGGTCTGTTCTCCTGCTTCCTTCCCTCCATCTTTGCTCAGTTTACCCATGCCCCCTAACCCTGACTTTGCTGACCCTGATCCCGACCCTGATCATCTTTAACGTACTATGTTGCTCTTTCGCCTTTGTTTCTTCTTTGTTCTCTGTTGTTGTCCTTTCTCTTCTCGTCGATGTCTATTCTTCAATGGAACGTTCGAGGTTATTACGCCAATTTCCTCGAACTCCAACTTCTAATTTCGCGGTTTTTGCCCCTTTGTGTCTGTCTCCAGGAGCCGATGCTTGGTGCTCATCCTGGTCGCTTTCGTGGCTATTCCTTTCTTTCCCCCCCCCCAGCTGTTGTTGGGGCTCCTAATTCTTCTGCTCTCTTGATTCGCTCTGATGTTCCCTTTGTCCCCTTACTTTTTCTTCGCCTCTCCATTGTTCTGCTGCTCGTATCTTTGTGGGGAAATGGTACACAGTTTGTTCCATTTATCTCCCCCCGAGTGTCCCGCTTTCTCTTCCTGATCTGAGACACCTACTGGACTCCTTGCCGGAGCCTGTGCTCCTGCTGGGTGACTTCAATTGTCGTCATTCTCTTTGGGGTGATATTCTGACGAATACCCGAGGGCGCCTTCTCGAGCCATTTATCCTCTCTTCTTCCCTGTCTCTTCTGAATTCTGGTGAGCCCACTCATTTGGACTCTCGGACTCGCACTCTTTCCTGTCTTGATCTTTCTCTTTGCTTAGATTTCACGTGGCAGGTTCTTGATGACCTCCATGGCAGTGACCATTTCCCCATCCTTGTTTCCTTTTTCTCTTTTTCGTCCTTCCCTAGGTGGCAGTTTGCTAAAGCGAACTGGAACCTGTTTACCCTCAGTGCTGCTCTCTCTGACCTCTCCCTTCTGCCTCTCCCTCGCGCTCTCCTCCTTTTTCATGACACTGTCTTCGACGCTGCCCTCCGCTCTATTCCTCGCTCTTCCTCGGGGTCCACGGAAGTACGTTCCCTGGTGGAATGCAGACTGTGCTCGGGCTGTCCGCTGTAAGCGTGCAGCCTGGAAGAGGCACCCCCGTCGGCAGACGGCCGATTCTTTTCTTTTCTTTCGGAAAGCGAGTGCAGTGGCCCGTAGGGCCATCCGTACAGCTGAACGTGAATGTTGGGCATCTTTGTCTCCACCATTACGTCCGAAAGTCCTCTGCCACAGATCTGGAAGCGTATCCGCAAGATAGCGGGTAAGTTCGTTCCCGATGTTTCACCGGTCCTTCACCTCCGTGGTACTCTTGTGGCGGACCCGTTGCAGGTTGCTACTGAACTGGGTTCCCACTTTTCTTCTGTTAGCTCTGGTCTTCATCTTCCCCAATCTTTCCTTCTTCGTAAACCTGTCCTTGAGTCTCGTACTTTAGATTTCTGCACACGTCTTCGACTTCCCTATAACGATCCCTTCTCTCTCTCTCTGATCTTCATTCTGCCCTGGCCCTCTGCGGTTCTACGGCGGCGGGCTCTGATGGTATTCATTATGAGATGCTTCGCCATCTCCCTCGGTGCACGTCTCAGTATTTACGGAGTCTGTATAATCGGATCTGGGAGTCGTCGTCAGTCCCTAAGGACTGGCTCGATGCCGTTGTCCTCCCTGTTCGCAAACCAGGGTCTCTGGGAACTTCCCCTAAGGACTTTCGCCCTATTGCCCTCACAAGTTGTGTCTGCAAACTCTTTGAATGTATGGTTAACGGTCGTCAGATGTGGTTCCTGGAACACCATCACCTCCTCTTCCCTTCTCAGTTTGGTTTCCGCAAGTGCCGCAGCACGACAGATGTCCTGGTGAACTTGGAGGTCTATATTCGTACTGCTTTTGCTGCGAAGACCTCCATTGTTGCCGTCCTTTTTGACCTGGAAAAGGCTTACCACTTGGCGGTATCATATTCTATCTCAACTTCATTCTTTTGGCCTTCGTGGTCATCTCCCTCTCTTTCTCCGCAGCTTCCCCTCTCGTCGTTCCTTTCGGGTGCGACTTGGTACCGCTCTCTCTGCCTCTTTTCAGCAATACGAAGGTGTGCCCCAGGGTAGTGTTCTGAGCATTACTCTTTTTTCTGGTTGCCCTCAATGGTCTTCTTTCCTCTCTTCCTTCAGGCATCTTCTCCGCTCTCTATGTCGATGATCTTACCCTTTGCTGTCAGGGTGATGATTCGCCGCTCCTTCAGCACCGGCTTCAACTTGCGATTGATGCCGTGTCGTCTTGGGCCACCGATCATGGCTTCAAGTTATCTACTTCTAAGACTTGTGCCATGACTTTCTCGGAAACGGGTCGTTCTTCGTCCCTCTTTGTCACTTTATGGTCACCCCCTTGAGTACAAAGATTCCGCAAGGCTTTTGGGGTTATTCCTTGACA